GATCTTGTTCTTACCGTTCAGCTGACTCCTCGGGACTTGCCTGACCCTCTACAGGTACTTGGTGGTTGCAGCTTTTCTAGCAGCCTCTTCATGGTTCCCATTTGCCTGTGGGATCCCCAGGTACTTCTAACTGTCTTCTATGTCTGCAATGTTGCAATCTGGTAGTTTGATCCCCTCAGCTCTTTGTTATCATCCATCTACATTTCTCCAGTACGAACAACAATCCGATGTCATTGCTGTATATCCTGTTGGTGTGAATCAGTGACTCAATGTCACGAAGTTGTAGTTGTCTCTCGTGTTGTACGCCACATCCTGTCGCGATTCTTTGATGATGGGCTGAGAATAAACAACCAATACTCAGAGGAGATCCAGTCAACAACAATTATTTATTATGCACATATATGTGGGAAATCCACACGATACCACCCAAAGCGCAGTCTGGTAGATCTCAAAGAGGAAGCACACAGGCTTCACTATTTTAAAGGGCTTAACACGCCCTGTCTCCGTAAGCAGAGTACATTATCATGCAACAGTGACAGTTAACTTCAACCCCCTCTAAAGCAGTAATGTTTACACCTCACTAACAGTCTCAATGCTCTTTCACCCACTCCCTCAGAGCTGTTTCCTGTCGTTCTCGTCTGGAGGCCCATGAATTATAAGTTTCACATCCTGAATACATTCTGTTCTGTCTCTGTGCAGGTATGTATGCAGTTACAAGTAAAACACTCTTCCTAAGATTAGTACTTCATTTGGTATGATACTACTGAAACATAGCACTTTATTGGGGTTAATGATACTTCATATATTGCCATTTAGGCTTTTATTTCCCACATACCCCCTTTTGACCTTTCCCCAGAAAGGTCACCCAATGTCCCTGGATCGGATACATTTATACTTCTTTCAGAGTTCCTCATTCAGCATCTGCCTATCCTGTTTTCTTTGTATTCTGTGTTATTGCCCTGTTCTTCATGCACAGTTTCAATAAAAAAAAAGCATCCTTGTAGGGTTATCTGCCCCAATTTCTCCTTTTATTTCATGCACATACCCTCATTTCCCATCTTCGGGGTGACCCTCACATGAACTACCTCTGCACTGCAAACTCAGCAAACTCAGCTACCTAGTTCTGCTTTCGTGGTTATTGATGTGGTTCTGGAATCCTCTCAAGGTGACCAGCAGGAGCCCAAACGGCATGACCCTTGACCTCAATTGTTGTCTGGGCCGTCTGCTGTGCCTGGAATGATTTGTGCTTCTCGCTGGTTCTCTAGGAAAAAATCTGGAACTTTAGGAAGTCATGGTCTATCATAATCTTACATTTTACCTGTACTTGAATTGTTAATCACACAAATCACCATAAAGTCATAGAAAGAATACAGGGAGTGCAGAATTATTAGGCAAGTTGTATTTTTGAGGAATAATTTTATTATTGAACAACAACCATGTTCTCAATGAACCCAAAAAACTCATTAA